TACCAATGGCCAAAAGGAGATTGTTCGTCCAGTCGCAAACTTCTCTCCCAGCTTGTGGGGTGAACAGTTTATCAAATTTTCTTTTGATACTGAGGTACATTGATCCATCATTTTTCAAGGATTCCATTTTTTTTCTTTTTATTTTATTTAATAACGTGTTTCGGCATATAATGTTCTATAACATGTCTATATAGAATATTGTTTTAAATTCAAATAGTTAAAAATGAATGAAATAATGAGCAAACTATATATTAGCGATCCTTTTATTATATGTTGGTCATTATATGTGTGTCTTTTGAAACTATACAGTTAGCATAAATATACGCCAAGGAGATTGAAGGGTTGAAGAATCAAGTGAGAGGCATGCGAAAAACTCAGGGAAAATACATTGTAGAGACGATGAATTTGATCAACACACTTGAGCGCTTGGGCATCTCATATCACTTTGAAGATGAGATTGAAGAACTATTAGAACATTCCTTTAATCTCAACTTAGACTACGTGGATGAAGCCTATGATTTGTACACTGTTGCGCTGCATTTTCGTTTATTCAGGCAACATGGCTACCGTAAATCTTGTAGTATCTTTGAGAAATTCATAGACGAGAATGAAAAATTCAAAGAGATTATAAAGAGTGATGCAAGAGGCTTGCTGAACTTGTACGAAGCAGCATATTTAAGAGTGTATGGTGAAGATATATTAGAAGACGCCCTTGTATTTACAATAACTAACATGAATTCCATGGCACCACATCTAAGATGTGGACTTGGAAAATAAGTAACTCATGCCCTTGTGCAATCCATCCATTTTGGGAACCCGAGAATTGAGGCACGTAATTTTATCTCCATCTACGAACAATATGAGTCAAAGGATGAATTGCTGCTGAGGTTTGCCAAATTGGACTATAATTCATTGCAAACGAGCTGTACGAAGTCTCAAGGTAACATTCTCGTTCAAATGCACATGTATAACTCTCTCTCTCTCTCTCTCTAGGTGCATATATATGCTAATAAAATTCTTCAAATTTACATTGCAGGTGGTGGAAGGAGTTGGACCTTGTTTCTATGCTTCCTTATGCTAGAGATAAAGTGGTGGAAAATTTTTTCTGGGCTATGGGTGTTTATCATGAACCTGAATATTCAGTTGCTCGAGTCATACTCACAAAAACCATTGCAATGACATCAATAATAGATGGTACATATGACGCGTATGGTACAGTTGATGAATTGGAAATTTTTACGGAAGCCATTCAGAGGTACATATTTTATATTTCTGTCCTTTAAATATATCCACAATTGTAATACAAATTATTTCTTAAAGTAATCAAATGTTTATCGATGATCATAATCAAAAAAGTTCTCGTATTTTAGGTGGGATATTAGTGAAATTGATTGGCTTCCAGAATATATCAAACCATTTTATAGTGCTCTTTTGAATCTTTATGACCAATTTGATGAAGAACTATCCAAAGAAGGAAGATCTTATGCACTCTATTACGCAAAAGAAGCAGTAAGTACCATATTTTATGGTTACTTAACCATTATTCTAAACCTATTTTTTTCACTGCTGATTATTATATTCAATGCTGAATTTGTTCTTGTTAACTTATAGAAATGTCTACTAATTTTATACAGTTGAAAGAACTAGTGCGGACTTACTATGTGGAAGCCAAATGGTTTATTGAAGGATACTTGCCACCATTTTTCGGGTACATGAACAATGCCCTAATCACATGCACCTACTGTTATCATACATCAACAGCATTGCTAGGGATGAAATTTGTCACCAAGGAAGAATTTGAATGGCTAAGCTCTAGACCCAAAATGCTTGTTGCTAGCCTTAGAAGATGTCGACTCATTGATGATATTGCTACATACAAGGTTTTAACATTCACTCAAAGTTGTTATACACCAATATCACAAACACTACAACAAAAAAGCCCTTTTGCAACAATTAAAAGGCAACATTCATTGATTGAATGTTGCTAAAGGAATCTATGGCAACATTATAATAAGTGAATGTTGTGATTGATTGACTTTATTGAGCTTTAACAACATTTTTTAAATGAATGTTGCCAATGTTAATTTTTGCAATATTTAGTGAACGTTGCAAGCAGTTCCATTTTTCGCAACGTTCACTGAAAAGTTTCCCTTTTAGCAACGTTGAAATGAATGTTGAGAAAAGTTCCCTTTTAGCAACATTGAACTAAACGTTGCCAAAGTCCCCCTTTCAGCAACGTTCAATGAACGTTGTTAAAAATTATCTTTTCCAAACAAAAAGAAAAATAGTGAACGTTGCAAAAAGTTCCATTGAACATTGCGAAAAGTTTTCCTTTTAGTAAAGTTGAAATGAACTTTGCGAAAAGTTCCCTTTTAGCAACATTGAACTGAACGTTGCCATAGTCCCCCTTTTAGCAACGTTCAATGAACGTTGTTAAAAATTATCCTACCTAAACAAAAAGAAAAATCTGCAAAATCAAATCAACCCTAATTTTTCCTTCTTTTCTCGTCTTCGCCTCTCACTTGTCTCACTTCTTCTCTTACAAATCTCTTTTCCTCCTTAATGGTAGTGAACTTGATCACTCTCAGAGACAGACGCCGCCGTCTCTGGGAAGCACCACCAAAACCAACGGTGGCTTGCAACTAAAGAAGCCTCCCGTCAAGGACTGCCATAGCAAGGTCGATGGCTGAGGTTGCCGCATTTGCAAGCCTATAATCTATGCCGCCAGGTTTTCCTGCTCACCCGTGAACTCGACCAAAAGTCTGATGGACAGACTATTGAGTGGCTTCTCCATCACATGGAGCCTTCAATTATAGCTGCTACCAACGCCGACTATGCAAACCACGATCGCGGACCATCTCTTCCACCACTGCCTCATCATGACAAAGCTTTTGCACATATAGTTCATCGGCAATTTGGACTCAATCTGGCTCTGCCCTTTGATTGTCATGTCTCTACACCCTCTGTTAGTAATTGTGGCTGTGAGTTTACTATTTCTTCTATTTTTCTTGTTTTGGTTTTCATGAATTTCTGTAATTTATGTACTCCTAAAATTACTAAAACAAATTATTCTAAGTATGTTTGATCCACATTCTTTCAAAAGAATACATTCTTAAACAGTTATTTGATATTATTTCAACCACACATTCTTCAATAAAATAATATTACACGCAAATTCAAAACTCTTTCTTATTTTTTAACCACACATTTCTCATCAATACACTAATAAAAAATGCATTCTTGTTGAAATAATGTGGCTCAAACAAGGGCTAAGCTTAGCTTTTTCCTGTCGTGAAATCAAATCATATATAGAATTTCATTGGAAAGGATTCTTTGTTGAAGTAGATATTGTCAGATACAATGAACATGGCCTTAAGCAGAAATTCATAAAACATTATACGAAGCTTGTAATTCCTTTGGTCGGAGTTTTTGCTAACAGATTTACAGTTCAAAGAGTTGATATCCAATATAGTAGAATACTATATGTTCCTACACCGCATATGCGTGCCCTGCAGAATATATTGTGGGAATTATGACCGGATCCATTTCTATAACAATTTCGTTATATACGTGGATCTCACACGGTAGACTATCTAATTATTGAACATTTTATTGAAGATGATAATATAAAATTGAGAAAGAGAGATTTAAAATAAATGTCAATAATTAATTCTTGTATAGCATATTAATCCCTAAACTATACATTTAGAACTCTATAAAATTTACGTTTCCCTTTATGTTATAATCAAATAATGTTATTCACTACTTCATTAATTTTCTTGTAAACCCTCCAAAAATGTTTTGATCCCATGAGTTGGAAAGGGAAGTACTTAGATGATGATTTTATGCATAGAATTCTGCACAATGATATTCTGAGTTTTAAGGGATAATCCCATTTAAAGGACATAAGTAACCTATATATAAGAGTTTAGTGGATTGACTGATCAAATGGTTATGATTAGCTCATATTTGGCTAATGGCAATCAACTATTTTTAAACAGCTAAATCGCATTTATTTCATACATTTCGTGAGATCCACAAATTTTATCTATTTATCTATCACTCATTAATTTCTATCTATTTAAACTGTTTATAAACATTTCCCATATGGTTCAACCTTTTCATTTGAGCTCCTTGTTGTCCCCTTTCTCCAAGGAAGCTGTTGCCACATTCTGTACTGCAACACTATGTGATCATATTGGTGAATTCACTCTTATTTCTGATCAAACTGGTAATAAGATTTCCTTATGTGGTAAAATAGGGTTTTGTGGCTCCACAAAAAGTGTTCTATATATAAACGTATCGAAGAACCAAAACTATCAAACTGAAATTCACTGGGTTCATTCTTCCATATTTCAGCAATAAAATATTGATCCATGGAGCAAAGGTCCAAAATTTGGAAGAAAGAAGCATTTTCACGACTCTATCACCCAGTCAATTATATTCTATTGAATTCCTCTCTCTCTTTTATAACCACATATCTTTCTAGCTAAGAGATGGGAAATCTTTCTCGTGTTACATGAATCCATAACTACAAAAATACTTTACATGCAAGCTAAACCAATTAAAACCTTGCTTAATAAAATAAATTATGAGAATTTCATTATTTGTCGTAATGCAGTACATGTATTATACTCCATAAGATAGTTACACTCAATATATTTTAATCGTACACATTTAATAAATTAATTATGATAATATAACATAATGTTGACAGGATAATACCGTTGGGAATGCAAATCTCAAGATTGGAACTATAAACTAGAAAAATATAATAGGAGTTTTGGTTCCAAGATAACAAAATGTGTATGAACCATAGAAGATACTATAAATCATTTCGATTAATTTATTAATTAATGCATACTAATAAATGAGGCCAAAAATATAAATAATAATCACATCATGGACCACTTTATTATTGAAGTATACGAGAGATCCATATGTCGTGCTGATCTTGTGGACAAGAGGCCACTTAATTTTATTTTATTTTTCTGTTTAATGATCAGTCTGCTAAAGCCTTGATGTTGTCTAGAGGGCAGCCTAACCAGGTCAGTTTTTCAATTTTTCCTGTGAAAATGATAATGAGTTACTGCTCTTAATCAAGGATATTAATAACTAATGATTGAAATGTGAATACAGGAAAATGATGCATCAGTGCAAGCTCTATATAATGGATTCACAGGATTTCTTTGTCAAACTTCCTATCAAACTCAGAATTTTCACCACCCTCAGGATCAAAATTCGGGAGGCCCAGCAGCGGAGGCTGCGCCACCTTCGACGGCAAGTGGATCGGTTGGAGGAGGAGGGGCAGCGGGACAGCCGAGGCAGAGGGTGAGGGCTAGGAGAGGACAGGCTACTGATCCTCATAGCATCGCAGAAAGAGTACGCAAATACATTATAGTACATAAACCCTATTTTTTATTTTTTTAAATTTTTATTTATTATTATTTGTCTTTGATTGATTATTTGTTTGTTTTAGGCCAATTTTGATTTGTTTTGATTCTTGAATTTATTTTTTGTTTCATTATTTTGTGATGAACTCAAATGTGGGCAACAGTTACGTAGGGAGAGAATTGCGAAGAGAATGAAGGGTTTGCAGGAGCTTGTACCAAATGCTAACAAGGTAATTACCAACATCATTACCTACTCTAATTATTGAATATCTTACCTTAATTATTTAGCCATCACTATAAAGTATAAATACAATTAATTACTTAATTGTTTGAAATTAAGCACTATATGAGTTCGTATGGACAAAGAAAAAATAGTAGGTTAAAAGGATGAGTTCAGATCTTGTGTCCCATTTAATTTAATTGTCTATTTGACTATTTTTTAAATAAATTTTTGAAACCTCGACACAACGAATTTTGTTAGTAAATATTTGACTATTTTTTAAATAAATTTTTGAAACCTCGACACAACGAATTTTGTTAGTAATTGAGAAGACATGATTTCAATTATGTTGCTTATAATAAAATGTGTAGATGTCTTCTCATTTAGCCCATGTTTGACATCTATTAAAGAATATGAGTTTCGTAGTTGTTATTATTCTTATTAAGAATGTTTTATATATATATATATATATATAAGAATTAAACTAATTTAATAAAAATAGTTTGACATGCTGCTTGAGGTTCTCTCACATGTGTTGGGACCCATGCAGGACGCATATGAATTAGAAATGACAAAAAATTCTACACCCTCCAATTGTGAGGGAGCTATCGAGGATGGTGTCAAACTCTCCCCTATAGTCTAGCAAGGTTGAAAAAATAAATACATGGCATACACAAAAATTTCATATTTTTATTGAGAATATAAACAAAATAATTATTATAATAACTTTTTATTTGTTTTGAGTACAGCTATTATAAGTTACAATTTTTAATCAAAATCAAATTTAATACATTCATTCATTTTTAGGACATATATCACAAACCCATTGAAATGGTCTAATGTTATTTTATGAAAATTAAAAATTAATGGTGTTGGTGGTGGTTGTTGAATGACAGACAGATAAGGCTTCCATGCTGGATGAGATCATCGACTATGTCAAATTCCTGCAGCTCCAAGTCAAAGTAATTGTTCCCTCTCAAATTAGTTTATTTATAATTTATATTTATTTAAGATTTGTTATGGACGATATAATATTCAATTGCTTTGGAAATATTGGTTATAGTTTTATGCCCCGTGTGGGCTTCATTTTAATGTGATTTGGGAAAAAATTAATTTTGAAATTAATTTTTTTTTTTTTTGAAGAATGTGTGGTTAAAAGATAAAGAAAAGTTTTTAATTTATGTATAATATTATTTTATAGAAGAATGTAAGGTTAAAATTGATTTTTGAAAAAAAATATATATATATATATATATATTTGAAAATAATAAAGCCCAAAAGGCTAAATATTACCTTCTTCAATTCTTTTTTAATTCTCATCAAAAATTTAATTGATTTTTTGTTTTCAGGTTCTTAGCATGAGTAGATTGGGCAGTGCTACGGGTATTCCCCAATCATCCCCAGTTCATGGTACACTTTCTAAGGTAATAATTAGTTAATAAAAAATAAAATAGTAGTAGAACAATCGACTTAAAATGAACCCCGTAACTATTTTCTCTGTCATATTCCAAAATCTTGATACCAATGGACAAAAAATTAAAAACAATGTGTCACTTGAGAGTCCATTTATCGCAATCTTTGAGATTTGCTATCCAACTTTGTTATCTAATTTGTTGTCCATCCAATTAATTATTAACACATAATTTTATATTAATATGTCATCAATTTTAACTTTTTGGTCGATGTTTAAGTTTTGTTATTCAATGCTAATGCATTTAATTAATTCCAAAAGTATTAGATTTTTCATTTCAACATTTTATTTTATTGTCTGAAATAGTAGATAGCTTCTTGTTAATCAAGAATCCATAAAAGTTGGTCTTGCTTAGTTTTTGTGCTTAATAACCTAACGGTTTTTGATTGTGTCTAGGGGAGAAGTGGTAATGAAAAACAAACAACGCCACTAATAACAGCGGATCACCATGTGACAAAGCTACTTGAAGAGGACATGGGCTCTGCCATGCAATACCTCCAAGGCAAAGGTCTCTGCCTCATGCCCATTTCACTAGCCACCGCCATCTCCACAGCCACATGTCGTTCGAGGAACCCTATGGATTCCATTAATATTAACACCAATAATCAATTAGTAAATGGCGACGAGTCTTGTTCGACGTCCTCTCCTGGCATGTCGGCTTTGACCGTTCAATCAGCTACGATTGCAATATCAGCAGAAAAGAATCAAGAGAACAAGAATAACTTGACTCCATTTTAGGCGTGGTGCATTTCTTGCATGAAGCTCCTGCTAAAAAAGCAATGCAACTAGTTCCAAGCTCTGACAGTCATTTATGTGGTGATTTCTTTTAGTTAACGCTTTAATCTGGAGAAAGTATAAAATGAAAAAGTGGAAAATTGGAAAATATTTGGTCGGATTTTTGTTGTTTTTATTTTCAATTGTATCTGCTGCCAAAATAAGAATCCTTTTTATGTTTTATTAAAGTGCCTTTGAGCACATAGACGTATTTAGGTAGACTTGGCTTGGGTGAAAATGTGTTCAAAAACAGCCCAAAAATGTATCTTTATTCTTTTAATTTGTATGATAAAGAATTGCTGATTATTTTGTATTACGGCCTTCTAGAAGTTTTATATTTTACTAATATTATGATCAACAAAGAAAAGAATGATTAGGTTTGATTAAATTAAATTAAATTAAATTAGCTTAAATGACAAAAGTATGTTGTACATGATCAAATTTGAAAAATTGTATTTAGTGATATTTAAAATCGATGGCGTATCAAACATACAATACTCTAGATGGAATTATTGGATATTAAAATCAATTTTCTATAATATTGTAGGTGTCGGATAATTCTGGGTTCCATTTGCTTATTAATAAATTGGTTACTTTTATATCATAGGAGATAAAAAAGAAGAAGGGATAATTCAATATAGGCCCGAAACCTTTGAAATACTAGCAGACTTTTTTCAAATCTTTTAATTTATTGCAACCGTCACTCCTAATATTTTCAAACATTACAAGTGATGCCCCAATGGATGGAAAACATCCAATTTACCGTTAGTTGACCACAAAATTGAATTTGACCACATTGTTAATATTTTTGTAAAGGGCAAAAAAGAGTAACTTTTTATTTACCAAATTAAATAATTACATTAATTAAATTAAAAATCCAAAAAAAAGGGAAAAAATTGTATCTTCTTCTTCCCATCCCTTCCCCTACCTACCCAGCCCCACCCTGACCCAAAGGGAAAAGACTCGCATTGCTTGTTGTTTTGAGAATATTGTGAGTGGTTTTGGGAAGAAGAAGAGGCTTTATTAGCAGTTTTATCAACGTCGTCAACAGTAAAGAATGACCCGAGAGTGTTACAAACCCTAATATCACAAGATTTCTCTAGGGCTCAAAAAAGAGGCTTAAAGCTTCATTCTTTGAGGCAGAGAAAGATTTCATTTGTTGGAGCTTAGAAAAAATGAGGTGGATTTGGAGCTGGTAGTTTTAGATGCTGGCGACGATTTATTGGCGGAGGCAGACGAAAACAGATATTTGATGGTGACGGCGAGAGGAGGAGGGTGTATTGGAAAAGGATTGATATAAGGTGGTGAGGTGTTCGCAAAGGCAGGAAGGGAAAAACCCAGTAAATTGTTCATCTGGATTAGGGTAGGCTTGGGTAGGATGGGGTGGACGGAAGAAAAAGATACATTTTATCCCTTTTTTTTAAGTTTTTTAATTTAATTAATGTAATTATTTAATTTGATAAATAGAAAGTTACAAATTTTCTCTTTATAAAAATATTAACAAAGTGGTCAAATTAAATTTTTTGATCAACTAATGGTAAATTGAATGTTTTCCATCCATTGGGACCTCAACTGCAACGTTTGAAAATGTTAAAGATGATGGTTGCAACAAATCAAATGTTTGGGGAAGGTTTGGTAGTATTTGAAAGATTTGGGGCCTCTGTTGCAATTATCCCACAAAAGAATGTCTAAAGAGTCTTGTTAAAATCTAAAAAATAGGCCAACTCGCCATTCATATGATGTTGTTGAAGAAGAGAGATATTGGAGGATATTTGCAAATATTGGAGAATACATTGTGATAATTGGGTTGACCACAATTGAAGTATTTTTGTGATTTATTTATACCATTTCTTGATTTTCTCATTCCTAACATGCAAATCCTTGATGTAATATGTCTATAAATTGTGTTATTGCAAACTCCAAACAATATAATCTCCTCTCTTCTTCCTTGAATGTATGTTTGTTACAATGACACTAAACTACATAAATTTTTGTGTTCTTTATTATTTATTGAATTCTTCAAAAACAAATCTCAATCATTGATTCAAGTGTACAACGCAATTATCATTAGATTATTCTTTAACCTAAAGAAAAAAAATGTAAAGAGTAAATCAATACATAATGCACTTTAGGGCATGGTAAGAGTAATGTTATTTACACCAACGGTAATTAGCACGGATCTAAGTAATTTATAGGGTAAAAAATTTAAAGATAATCTCACAAATCTATGGAAGTTTACCAAAACGAGAGGAAACTAGTTTGTTTGAAGTTGAAATGTTGGAAGGATATATCTCATCGATAAAGGCCTTGAGCAACAAATTTTCAGATTTAGCAACAGAAAATACAGCGCTGAAACCACATTTTTGTGCAAAGAAACTAGTTTGTAGAACGTATGAAGGAAGGGAAGACCCAAGAGGCAAAATAAGAGAAAAGAAAAGGCAAGATATTAATTGCCACATTGTAATTAATGAAGAGTTGAGAATGGAGAATTCTAGATCTGAGAAATGAGGAGAATGGCGGGAAAATCTATTGTATTCAACTGGATAATGAAAGTGAGTGTTACACACACACACACACACACACAAAAAAGGATACAGATACGCAGCTGTAACAATAATGTGCAAAAACATAATTATCCATATACTAACAAGCCTCAATACTCCCCCTCAAGATGGAGAATATATGTTCAATATTCCCATTTTGTTTAGCAATGACTTAAACTTGACTCCCCCTAAAGGTTTAGTTAGCTAATCTGCCAATTGATCTTGCAATGTCGTATGGAATATTTTTGTTTCTCCTATCTGTACTTTATTCCTTACAAGATCGTAATCGATTTCTATGTGTTTCGTTCTTTCATGAAAGACCGGATTGCTGGCTATATGTATTGCTGACTAGTTGTCACAGAAAAGTAAGGTAGCTTTGGTAAGCACTACACTTAAGTCACTTAGTATATTCTTCAACCAACTCAACTCACAAACTGCAACTGCCATAGACCAGTATTCTGCTTCAGCTGATGATCTTGAGATCGTGTGCTGCTTCTTAGACTTCCAAGACACTAGTGAGTTCCCAAGAAATATGCAGTAACCTGTAACCGACCGGCTTGTATCCAAACAAGCTGCCCAGTCTGCATCACAAAATCCCTTAAGATGTAGATCAGATTTTCCATAATAGAATAGGCCTCGTCCAGATGTTTCCTGCAAATATATCAACACGTGATGAGCTGCTTCTAAATGAAGTTGTTTTGGAGACTCAAGAAATTAACTAAGGAGCTTCACTGCATATGACAATTCGGGCCTTGTTATTATCAAGTATAACAGCCTTGCCACTAACCTTCGATATATGCTAACGTCTGCAACAGTTTTCCTAACATTTTTGCTCAACCTCACATTATATGTTAAAGGATTCTTTGTCGGTTTAGCTCCTAGATAACCAGCATTGGCCAAAATTTCCAATGCATATTTTCTTTGAAAAACAGATATTCTTTAAGTTCTTACTATTTTAAGTCCTAGAAAATACTTTAGAACTCCCAAATCCTTTAGTCTGAACTGATCATTCAATCTCTTATTGAACTGTTCAATGTAAGGTAAATCATTTCCTCCTATAATGACGTCGTCTACATAGATAAGGAGCACAGTTTATGAGTAGCCATTTTGTTTGCTGAATAAAGAATAGTTAGATTTTGATTGCTTAAAACCCTGTGATAGAATGTAAGTGGTTAGTTTTGTGTTCCACTGCCTTGATGCATGTTTAAGTCCATAAATGAACTTGTTTAGTTTGTAGACAATCTCCATTTTTCCCCTATTGCTCATAACTCGGAGGCAATACCATGTAGACCTCTTCATCTAATTCACCGTGGAAAAATGCATTGTCAATGTCTAATTGATGAATGTGCCATTGTTTACAAGCTGCAATAGCAATAAGAGTTTTCACAGTGACCAGCTTGGCAATAGGTGAAAATGTCTTCTTATAGTCTAAACCAACTTGTTGAGTGAAGCCTCTAGCTACCAACCTAGCCTTTTTCCTTTCCTCCGTGCCATCTAAATTTAATTTGACTTTTAAAACCCAATTGCAACCCACAAGTTTCTTGTATGCAGGGAGCTCACACACCGTCCAAGTGTTGTTAGATACAAGTGCCTACTATCCGATATTCATGGCTTTACACCAGTCTGGATGTTGTGATGCTTCAGCAAAGGATTTAGGCTCATAAATAGTAGATAAGGCCAGTGCATACCTTCTTTGTATAGGAGACAAATTGTTATAATTCAACCAATTTGATATAGAATATTGTCCTCCAGGTTCAATCATTTTCTCTATAGAATCTGATTGGGAAATAGGTATTTGAGACACCAAGTTGCAATGTTAGTCATGAAGGTATGAAGGAATTCGTTTAGGCCTATCGGACTTGCGGGAAGGAATGACAAGTGGTTGAAATAGTGGTTCAGATGAATTGGAATCAGATGAAATAACCTCAGGTGGATCGGATGAAGTGGCTTCTTCATTTTGAACATGTGATGTTGGTAGGAAAGATGATCAGACAATGGTAAAGACCGAATATGCATATGAGTGGGAATTGTGAGTGGAGTATCAATTGACTAATGTGATTGAGTTGGTAATAAGAATTGATCATGATGAGAAGAATCAGTGGAGCGAGAGAGAAATTTCAAGAATTTAGGATGATGAAAAAGAAATATGGTTTCATGAAAAGACACATCCCGTGAAATAAAGGTAGTATCAGTTTGGAGATTATATAATTTATACGCTTTCATACCATAGGGATATCCAAGACACAAGGCTCTTGGATCAAATTTTGTACAGTTTCTTTTAAGAGTATAAGCATAACAAAGACAAACGAATACTCTAAGATGAGTGTAGGATGCTTTAGTCTGGTATAACATTTCATAGGGTGACTTGTCATCAAGAATTGTTGTTGGTGTTCAATTGATGATATGTGTGGTAGTAAGAATACAGTCTCCCCAAAATTTACGAGGTAAGTTGGCTTGAAAGTTGATGGCTCTAGCAATGTTAAGGATGTGTTGATGTTTTTGTTCAACAATTCCATTTTCTTGTGGTGTTTCCACACAACTCACTTGGTGTATAACACTTTTGGAGTGATAAAATCATTCATAAGGAACTTTGATCCATTGTTTTATCTGAGGAATTTTATGTCACAGTGGAAATGTGTTTGAATCAGGTGGAAAAACGATTGAATGATAGACCTGGTTTGGGATTTATCTCGCATAAGATAACTCTACGTCATACAGCTCTAATCATCTACAATTGTTAGAAAATATTTTGAGCCATCCAAAGCAGGGATTGAATATGGACCCCAAATATCATAGTGAATGAGTTCAAATGTTTTAGAGGTTTTTCTCTCACTATTTGGAAAAGGTAATCTATATTGTTTGGCCATAGGACAAATAGCACAATGTAGATGTTCATTAAAAGTAATTGCATGGACAAACTTATGCAAAAGTGACAATTTTGAGATGGGAATATATCCTAAACGACAATGCCAAACATTAATATCTATGTTGGCAACACTATTGTTCATTGAGGTACAAGCAATTCGATCTTCTTTATTACAACTCAAAAATAAAAGAGAATTATTGTTTGAACTATGAAAAGGACTGGAACTCGAAGTTAAACTTGTTGGAGGTTGTTGACAGCTATGTGAAGATTGATTATTGCATCGATGTTCAGAATGTTGAAAATGATATACACCATCTTTAAGCTTGCCTACCAATCATCATCCATGTTGAAAGATCCTGAACAAAACAATAATTATGGATGAATATCAGGAAATAATTGTGCTTGATTGTCTGGCATATATCAGATTGAATTTAAAACAGGGCACTACTAAAATGTTTGTTAAAACCAGTGTATCAAATAACTTCACTTCTCTAGTGTGTGTAACCACAACAATGCTACTATCAAGTAATCGTACAGATGCATTAATTGTGGTAGTTACGATAGTCAAGTGTTTGAGAACAAACCATATGTTCAGAAGCTCCTGTGTCTATGATCCACTTACCTTCAGGTGTAGTGCGATTACCTGAGAATGCATATGCATCAGGCATAGAAAATGAAGAGTATATCACATCTTGGGAGTGCTGGTTGTAGTTTTGGAGTTTTCTTTGTAATTGTGGTGTTAACACGGCTAGAATTTGTTGACATTGATCTGGTGTAATGGTTAGATCTGAAAGGAAATTTACCACCTCTGGATTATTAACTCTGGACGCTTGACTTACAGCATTTGCAACTAGAGTTTTCCCTTTGGCGAGTCTGTGAATAGGAGGATATCCAACAAGCTTGTAGCATTTTCCCTTGAGATGTCCAAGCATTCCACAATAGCTACACAGTGGCCTTTCCCTTCTCTGTGACTAAGTTAAACCACCGGCTCTCTGATTACTAGTAGACTTTGAAGTTAGTTTACTGGAAAAAGCTATTGCATCAAGGCTTTGTTGTTTCTTAGCAACAACTTCTCTTTGCCTCTTATCTTGCAGAATTAGAGCAAAGACTTTATTAAGTGAAGGTATTGGATCCATCAATAATATCTGACTTCTCACACTTGAAAGTTTTTCATCTAAACCCATCAGAAACTGCATAGTTTGATCTTCATACTTGTAATTGGCACTACTGGTTTCCGATCTATAATTTTCCAGCTCTTCCCAAAGCCCTTTGAATCGATTAAAATAGGAGGTGACAGAGTTAATTGCTTGAGAAATTGAGGCAATTTGTTTCCTAAGTTCACAAATGCGAGGACCATTGCCTTGACTATAGCGGTCCCTGAGTTCAATCCATATTTGCCTTGCTGAATCTTTGTACATCACACTGGGATATAGCTCTTTAGGAATTGAGTTGATATTCCATGAAGAGACTACATGATTGCATCTCCTCCAAGCAACGTATAGAGGATCAGAGAAGGTTTGACAATAGATCTGTCAATGAATCCTTCTTTGTTTTTCACACTAAGTGATATAATCACAGCTCTATTCCACATAACAAAAATGAGTTGCATTCCTATATTGTCCCCATAATGAAGATAATACGGACTACTAGGATCGCTAATCAATTGATCCACAAGAGCTACCATATCTCCAGTCACCATTTCTGCAGCAGATGAATCAATTGATGAATTAGTTTGATTCATTTGGTTTTGAGTCTTCATTTGAGCATCAAAATCCTTCGCCATTGCAAAGAATCCTCAAAGATCCGATACCATGAAGAGTTGAGAGTGGAGAACTCTGGATATGAGAAATGAGGCTAATGGTAGGAAAATCTGTTGTATTCAACCGAATAATGAAAGTGAATTACAAATACACCCCCAACACATACACACACATATATACAAGGACGTAGATGCACAACTATAACAATAATGTGCAAAGACATAATTATCCCTATACTAACAAGCCTCAATAATTAAAATGGTAAAAAAAGAATTAACATCTTCGTGTAGTCAGAAAATAAGCCTATTAATTGAATGTATAAAACTTCATCAGAATTATCGTGTGTACACACTGTACACTCACACGAAACAATCCCGCTACATGGCCAGGGAGTTGGTGACAAACAATGACCAGGATGACGTGGCCATTGGGTGGGGAAAAAAAAGGAAAAACGGGTGAAGGGAATTGATTGAACCCATCGTCTTTCATATTTCCCTACGAGGGGAGAGAGAGAGAGAGAGAGAGAGAGAGAGAGAGAGAGAGAGAGAGAGAATACCCAAATCAGATTTGAAACACTTCGTCGTCCAAGCAAGGTGATCCCTGCCTTACGACTCACCATCTCCGACGACTGTCTGAAATCACAAGCATTCTTCGACATCCCTCCCGGCTTTGGTATCCAGAGAATCACGATGGGAGTTCACAGATTTGAGAGTTTTTCACTACCAGTGCCCAACAAATCAAGATCGAGCTCGTCTTTTATCTGCCATCATTTCATCGTTGTGCTCAGGTTTGAGTGTTCAAGTTTTTGTTGATTTTGCAGTCCAATGTTTGCATAAAGACTGTCCTTCATTTTTGGGTTTGAAGTAATTGTTGGATCTTGTTGGTGCTCCTGTTTTAGCGTTTTTGCTACCAATTATGTGTGTATGTTCTTAGTTGGACAAAGAAATTGAATGAAGTTACCTCAGCTCTTTTCTTTCTTCACAGCAATTGGGCCCTTTGAGTTATGAGCATTTAAGTTCTCAATTTCATTTCTATGAAAGCACAGATTTTTTCTGTTATTTTCTGTTCTTTTTGGAAGAGAAGTAAGAAAACTGGAAAGGGAAAAATCATGTTGCGATTACCTGCTAATCTAGTTTTTAACTATTGGGGTTGAATAGTTGTCTGGTGTTGGTGGAGATTTATGGGCTGCAATGAACTTATTGAAAAACAGCTTGAAGAAGTTCCTCAGTGGTTATTGAAAATTGAGAATTGATTTACAGTTTACATCACGAACTCTCTAAACCACTTTGCCTCTTATGAATGGATTGGCTAATTGTCTACTATGTTACTTCAATATGAGATAGGCTTCATCAACTTTATGGTTGTATTGCAAATGATATTCATTTTTTTGTTGTTGTGCAGAATGGTCAGAAGGAACTCTGGGATCTATCATAGTTGTAGCGCGAAGACCTACTTCTTTGACGACTGCCCGAAGAAATGCCCATGCCCATAGTGCAAACGTGGATTTGAGAAATGTTTATTCGTGGAGAAAGAGGATGCGAATAAAGGAAAATTATTTCTTCGTTTTAGTAACAATTATGATTTTTGGAGTTGGGTTGTAACGGACGAATCAAGCGGTGCATCCAGTAGCGATGGCGCTCGGCTCGTTAACCCCACAAAGAACGAAATAGGAGATGAAATGTCCCGCATGTTTGAATCTCGAGTCCGCCTAACTGATGAAGAAGAGCTCAAGATTTCGGTGGACGTCACAATTCGAATGGAAAAAGTAAGTGCGGTAGTGAATGCAAAAGGAAAGCGGCCAACTTGATTAGTAGATGTTGATCGAATATTTTGTTTACGTTAGTTATTCGGCAAACCTTAGTTATGTAACTCGGCCCTATGTTTATGTATTGGAACTTTTGTTGTGTTGTATTTTGAACATTTATGGTTGAACGGATGTTAATGACACATTGTGTATGGAAGTTCAGCCTATGCGTGGTTTTTGTAAACATATATACTTCCAATATCTTGTGTAAATGAACTATACCATGTTCAGACATTTTATCTTGGTAATTGAACTAAAAAAAATATAGAACATGTCTTAAAAAAAAATCAACTAGACATATAATACTTCCAAGAAAATATAGAACTTGTCTTACAAAAAAAAAAAAAAAATCAACTAGACATATAATACTTCCAAAAAAATATGGAACCTATCTTCAAAAAAAATCAACTAGACAAATATTACATCCAAAAATAAGGTAGTCAACCTGTCTTCTCATTTCCCATCTCCCAAAACACATCTTGCTATTGAACTAATGGTAAGCTACATTAATGGGATACCATCTGCCCAATGGCAAGACTCTAATGGAGATCCATCAGATGATCTGCTAGGAAGTGCCATTACTGTAGCGTGAAGGACTTGCATTGACTCGTTGGTCCTCCCAATTTACTATGTACAGAACAAGTAATCATCATTAATACACCTTTGTAACGAGAACAAGTAATCATCATTAATACACCTTTGTAACAAGTTGATTAACAATGCTACCATGTATTCCAGTCCTATCTCTAGCTGAACCTCTAGACTGCAAAACCAATCGAACCATTAGCAGCATACTTTGTAAAGTTATTCAATCAAAAAATATAAAACATGTAACTGAAAGTTTTAAACTGTATAGATATCATACTACATAGTCCTACGTTCAGCTTGCAAAATCACACATTGCTTATCTCAGCTTGGATATTCAAGTTGAAATCTGTGAAGGAGGTAATAAGATTACAAAAAATGCCAAGACTAATACCCAAAACTTGGCAGAGCAACCAATGAAGTTGATTTTGCATAAAAATGCATTGCTGAAAGCAAGCAATTCTCATTCTCCAGTCATCACTTTGCTCAATCGCACAAAAATATTTTGGAAGAAAGTAACCACAAGTCGAAACCATGACAAAATTGACAAGCTTTTTCAGGGAGAAAGTATAGGCTTGGCTTGACGAAATTACCGAAAGATGTGAGCAAATCTCTATAATTTTAGACTGAGATCAACTGGTTCTATTCTTTTACCAATGCCATCCCTGGCATTGATTGTTGCTTGGTCAATTTGGATCTTAGCAGGGAAGAAGCTAAAAGGAGGTTGTTCTATTGATCGAATTGGTCCTGGCCTTTGGATCACATCTTTGGTAAATTCCGATAACGATGGAACAGACCAAAAAAATTAACTCAGAGACCATCATACCAATTTGACCTAACACAAAGCAGTAAATAGAATCAAAAGATGCACAGAATGTAAATAATTTTTATTGCACACCTGACTGGACGGACACCCAAATTTAAATAAACAAAGTAGACTAATACTTTCTTTATTGCTATTACTAAATCGAGATAAAAATAAGAAGTAACCTAATTCAATAGACAAAGTAGACTAATACTTTCTTTATTGCAATTATGTAGTGCGTACATATGTAATTGCTTGCATACTACGAAGAATAAATTCTAGCAATGGTAAATCATATATCGAGCTGAGCTTATATCTGTTAACTTTCCTATACCAAGAAAATTGTCACTATTATTGTATTTAAATGGATAAAGATGGAAGCACACAAGGAGAAAAAAATACACACACAAAATATGAGTAAAGAAAGAGAGTACTACGTCCCACTAAATTTTTGTTGTTTATAAATTCATTACTCTTACCTCAAAAAAGCTGAATATTTTGTGAGTGTATTACTACACAAGGTCTCGACCGCATCTTTTAAATCCAAAAGCTCAAAACAAATCTTCCTAACAGTGAAGTAAAGTAGATGTCCATTCTTACGCACAAAACAAAATACAATCATGCAATAAAAGGTAGAAATCCATTTATTGTTTTTGATGTGTAGAAATTCACTTTTTGACATCCTACCTTACATATTGCATCAACTAATTTACCCATTTTATGATGGTGTGTTGGTGGAAAATTGTGACAGGGAGAACGCTGATGACATGGGTTATTGTGGTTGAGTCGGGTTGTTCACGTTACTGTGCCTCGATCTCTTCCCTAATGTTGACGTCGAAGCGTTCTACATATGCATCGAAATGATTAATACTAAATGTACTTCAAATCCAATATGGAGTAATGTAAATCGCTAAAAATACCTTCGATTTCTTAGAAGTGGACTCCAACGAGCTCTTTTGCTAAAGTTTCTTTGGGGCACCCTTTCTGCGTACCGGCTTCGGATCCAATGTGCTCCCGTTCGATATATTTTGTGAATTAATACAATTATGGGGGACTTCAGAAGCATGATGTGACAGATATTAATTTCATGATTGGACTTTGCGCTCATAAGGAGACTACCTTCCTTTTTAATCCAATCCATTATGGCTTCTGACGACCGCTCATCATCTGCAGCAAGGTCTGCCACTTGTGCAAAAGCTTGACACATAGCATCGTATCTCAACTGTGAAAAAGTAGTAACTAGACCGTCATAGTTTACTCAAAGTCTCGTGTGTGCTCTAGTAACATCTTTCCTCTATCTACGTAGTATATATCTCTCTGGCATCGAGGTCACATCATTACGGCTCAGAATTGCTAGTGCTTTCCTACACACTATTCCACGGAACTCAAACAAATGACAGCTAGAAATGATTTCACATTTCTCTCTTTCAAATGACACCGGGAATTTTTTTTCCTTCGACGGCCATCAGTCACACGGACTTTCTCTACCTCATACGTGCTCATCAGACCTTCATCAAATGTTGATATAATATCACAATAAACCTTTCTCGTAAACTCTTCTTGGACCTCCCTAAACTTGGAGATGGTGTAAACTGACTAAAACTGCTGTTCCATTTCAAATTGCGTTGCACAAGGTACCATTTGCGAAAACGACTTGAAATTGGCCTGGAGCTCCTTCTAAACCTTACTCCTCAGTGCACGCTCATACTGGTCCACAAATTGCTTGAAAGATGTCTTAGAATGCACATATCTATCAAAAAATGCATTCATACTCTCACTTCTTTGTGTCGTTGACATCCCAGCCCAAAAAGAAGTTTTGAAATAGCACAGAACCCAACGAGCTCTGTTCTCATACAATCCCGATAACCAATCATTATCCCGTAAGGCATACATGTCAATCATTACTCTCCAACCACTTTCAAATTCTTGAACAAACTGTGATTCATGCACCAATTCATGTATAGCCCCAAATATTGAAGCCTTCTCCACGTGGTAGCCAAACTTCTCTGGCAACTTCTTTAGAAAATGCCATAAGCACCATCTGTGCTTTGTACTGGGAAAAACAATTTGAATTGCATTTTGTATGGCTCAATCTTGATTCATAATTATCCCTTATGAGCTTGACCTTGCATGCACTGAAGCCATGTCTGAAACAACCAAACAAAAGTATTTGTATCTTCATTCGAAAACAAACCACAATCAAGTAATATTGACTGCCCATGATAATTGACACCAACAAACGAAGTGAAAGTCATGTCATACTTATTAGTCAAATAAGTAGTATCGAACGTAACGATATCGCCGAACTCCTTATATGATTGTCTACAACGACTATCTGCCCAGAAAATATTTTTCAATCGTGACTCGTCATCTACATCCATACTAAAGTAAAAACCTGAGCATTGAGCTTGCATTTTTGAGAAGTATGATTGTATTGCCGCGGCATCTCCTTTCGTAAGCTTTAGTCGCCTCACTTGTTCTATATAGTTCTGACAGTCTTTCTCAATGCACCTCATGTTCTCATATCCGCATCTTCTACAACTGCAGAGTTGTAACTTTTGTGTAATGAAATTCCTGCCATATCATTCATTTCAAGCCTCTGTTTGATATGCATACTCAGTTCCCGATCGCATCGATATAATCTTGACTTTGACGGGCTTGTTTCATGATTATGGTCAAGGTGGACCGTGTTAATTCTCCAAGTTCCATGGATATCTGAAGATGTAGAGATATTGGCTTTACAACCTATATGAATTGTTGGCTGAGGCTTCAATGGACAGCCTGTACTAACGCCTCCTCAGCCTTTACGGCTACATGTCAATGTGACATACCTCACGACTCCGTCGTCCCTCCTTTTTTGAATTTCTTTTCTTCATAGGAAAGCCTATTGCATAGCCATACTTTTTGTAGAGCTCAAACATCTCCATCTCATCTTTGAACACCATACCTACCTCGGGCACTATCACACCATCCTCTCTTGACATTTCACCTCACATTGTGTTTGCATTCGCATTATCAGATTCAACCAAAATATCATCACAATCGTCTTGCACATCATCCATAATTTCTTCTGCATCAGTAAACAGATTGGTCAATGTGGGTAGAAATTCATAAAGGTAAAACACAAAACCAATAAAAATGTTCAATACTAAGTCACCCGAAACAATTCCTACTGAAATAGCAACATGACAATCACCAAGATACTTGTATTTTACCTAAACCAGTGGCAACATCACAATCACCAAGTTACTATTATTTCACAACAACTACTGGCGACATCACAACCTACATTCACAACCAGCAATTTCAAATTTTTACACAGTTATTTCTATTATGGTTCCAAGCCTTCAGCTAATAACCCCAATACTACTATTTCACAATAACCGGTGGCAACATCACAACTGACATTCACACCCATCACAACTGAGATTCACACCCAACAATTTCAATTGTGTACACAGTTATTTGTATTCTAGTAGAAAACCTTTTACTAATAAACCCAATAGCACTATCACACACCTCCGTGATGTTGGGCCTTGTTCGACTAGACTAATTTTCAAGCGGACTTGGAGCTGGAGAACATGAGATGGTTTTTCAGCCTTACTTTCTTCTGCTGGGAGCTGGACAACATGAAACGATAAGGCGAAGCTATGAAAGCTTCATAGCTGGAGAAAGCCGAGGCAAGAAAGTTTTGCTTCAATCCGAAATCACCAAGAATTTGGAAAATCAACACTAAAAATCACGAGCATTATTCGAGGAGGTGGAGAGATAGTTTTCCCTTTGGGGTTCTTCAATTTGGTGTCGTGCGGCTGGAGGTGTAAGAGAGAGCTCTTCAATTTGGGGTTGTGTAAGAGAGAGTTCTTCCCGGTCATTTCCCTCCCCTCTTTCCCTCGTTTTTCTTATGCACTGTAGCGGGATTTTAAAATCCAGTCACCAACGTTGTCACTGAACCTGGCCAAGTAGATTAATTCCACACAAAATCACTAACTTGTATATACCTTGTTGAAGAGTCCAAACAAAATCGCATTTTTGTTTTAATGAAAATTGCACAACGAAAACTCAATTGATCGGTCGGTGACACTTTATCAATTCAGTTGAGAATTAAGTGTTTTTTTTAATGCATTAAGTTGCACCCCAAATAATTTTGATTGAAATTTTGAGTATTTCAAAAAAAATGGAAACTTAAAAGAAGATGGTTGCTCTCTGTTCTATACGAAACAAAATGTAAAGATACATTTTAATTTTAGTTTTTCTTATATTAATTATAATATTTTGTTAACTATATAAGTAATAATTATATTTCACTTGTAAGTAATTTTTTTCTCCAAGCCTAGAAATTATTTTTAAATTGAACGTCAAATTAGTGGCGAATCCAGCATCAATGTGGCGGAGGTTGACTTTGACCGTTGACCGTCGACAATCAACGATCGTAAAAGCCTGGTCCGGTCGGCGGCAGATCGTTTATTAAAATTAGATGAAATAATATTAAAAATTATTCAATATATATGTAAATGAACTAAAATCTAGAAAGCATATACATATGAAAATATAGTTCAATACAACCCAAAATGCTAAAAAAATATATAATACAACCTTACTCCGTAGTTGTAAGTTTAGACAACTGAATTCTACGAGGTCGCATATTTTGAAAACGCTGCAATATTATCTCATTCTCAAGTTTTATAAAAAGATATTTCTCCATGTAAACCACCAAATGATTGGTCCGTCAGAAAACAAAAGGGAGGGACATCCAATTGCTTCGATTTGAATTATCCGGAGAATGCCTTATGTATATATGTATATATCAAAAAGATGGCCAATCAAACCTATTTCTCGATTCAATAGAAGCTCAAAGAGGTAAATAGGGTCTCGTTTAGGAATAACCAATTCATGGGAAGGTTGGAGTATCACAGGTGGGACTGTAACGAATCCGGGGATTTGGAGTTACGAAGGTGTAGCTGGGGCACATATTGTGTTTTCGGGGTCCGCTATCCCGATCATAATTTTCCTACCCCCAAAGGGAAAGGTACTTCCCTTTTGTTTTGGGCCGGTTGTGGGCGAGGAGGGATTCGAACATTCAACAATTCATCTCCCATTTTGCTGAGCAAATCATTCTTAATTAGATTCATAGTAGAGAATACCCTTTCAACACTTGCAGTTGCTACAGGTAATATCAAAACCAATGTGATCAGCCTATAAACCAGTGAAAAATAACAAGAACTTCCAATTTCAACCAACTTTTGAGCTGCACAAGATATACTTTTGAGGTTGAAAAAAGCTTCATCCATTCTCACGAGCATAAGAAACTTGTCAAGTTGAGGTCTAAGTAATAAAAGCTCTTCACTATTGAAATCCAAAGGATATAACTGAGCAAGTCGTACCAATTTACATACATCAAAAGCTGCAAATGAATCTCCTGGACTTAAACACGAAATGAAAGTAAAAAGCTCAGTAGTTGTTCTTGGAAAACGATCATGCAACTCTTGCAGGATTGAATCTATCACATAACAATACAAATCAACATAAAAACGATGATAATAAGTCACCTACTGAGTTGCACGCCTAGGTCAACCTTTCAATGCTACAATATCATCCATATTGGGCACTGAAATATGTCTATCAACACAAAATTCAATTACCTTACTCAACAAAGTATCCCAACCATATTTTCTCATGTTCTGCAATGCGTACTTACACAACTTCAATAACCTCATAGCATTCTGAATATCCTGATCCTTTTTCTGTAAGGCTTGTGAAAGGTCATCTGTAATTGTAAGAATTTCAAACATAAAATGGAGACTGAACACAAATTTAAAATCTTGCATAGTGTCCATCTGTCTTACGGCCATTGATTTTTGCTCTAAACTTAAGCCGTCTTCTGATATATTTTCAGGAACATCTATGATCGCATTAAACATACTAATGAAGCGAATAATTGTCTTTAGATGTGAGCCCCATCTAGTATCACCTAGGCGTGACAAACTCATTTCTTGAAACTGACAAATTCCACCAGAAAGTTCCTCAATATTAAGTCTCTCCAGAATTTGAGAATGATAACTTGTTCGAAGAGCATCTATACGTTTACATGATGCACCAACCAAATTCACAATAATAGCAAGCATGTTAAATAAATCACTAAGCATAACATTCCTAGGTGCCACAGAAACAACTGCCAACTGAAGTTGGTGAGCAAAGTAATGAACATACATAGCACAAGGGTTCTCTCTTAAAATTAAAGCTTTTAAACTATTGAACTCACATGACATATTGCTTGCTCCATCGTAACCTTGACCTCTCAGGCTAGATATGCTCAAGCCATGTGTAGAAAACATTGCATCAATGGCATCCTTTAATGATTGGGCACAAGTATCAGCGATGTGGGAAATGCCCAACAAACGCTCCTTCACTTGCCCAGTTTTGTCAACAAACCTCAAAACAACTGTCATTTGTTCTTTTATAGAATTATCACGAGACTCATCAACCAAAATTGAAAACAAAAAATCACCCATCTCATTGATCATAGACCTTGTCGTCTCTACAGCACAACAACTAACCAAATCCTTATGGATGCTTGGTGAAGTCATTTGATCATTTCCAGGAGCATTACTAAATAGTACTTCATTAATTTTCTTACGACGAGCTGCATACCAATTTAGTAGCTCAATTAGATTTCCTTTATTAAAAGACTCTTTTGATTCATCATGACCACGAGATGGCAATCCTTGCATCAAGAGGAATCTAGTATAGTCTAGCACCGCAATCTACCTTGTCCTATAATTTTTTTGTTGACTACTACTTTGGCTAGAAATAACATAGGAGATACTTTGCTTTTGATTCATCAAATTGGTACACTTTGCAAAAGCTTGATTATGAGCACTATCAATGAGCTTGACATGATCTTTCAATGTATTCTTGTGCTTCCAATCCCTAAAGCCGGTCTTAGTGAATATATGTCCACCCCCTTGACCCCCCTTATCAGGTTTGAACAAGTAGCAATGCAAACAATAAGCCGCATCATTTTGTATACTGTACTCCAACCAATAAAATTCAGAAAACCATTCTTTTCGAAAACACCTATTATCATTTCCCATCTGTCTTCTTGGAAAGTCATGTCCATGTGGTTGACAAGGACCTTTTTTCCAAATATGCCATCTTAACATCATCTCTAATATTAGGATCATATGACTCGATAGGGGGCGTTTTCCTAGATCAGATACAAGATCATCCACATTGAATTGAGCCCGAGACTTCTTTGTGCTGTTTAACAACTCGAGTGCTCGGCTAGAAGCAGTGGCGGGATTAGAAGCACAACTAGAACTAGGAGAACT